TCTCTCTCTCTCTTTCTCTCTCTCTCCCTTTCTCTATCTATCGTAACCCCCCCCCTCTCCTTCTCTCTATAACTCTCTCTTTTTGTGTTTCTGCAATACATGCATACACGTGCACTCATAATAATAATATTATGTACACACATAGCATAACACGCGCAGTTACGAATTTTAAGAAAAGTATTCGCACTCTACTATTATAGGCCTATTATTTTTTATTGGATTTATTTTTGTACACCGGTCTTGGCTAAAGCTTTCGCAACGGTTTTATGGAATATTTGGAAATTCATGTATCTACAACGATTAATAAAAAAACAATAACATTACAATAACCTAATTGGAAATACATTATAATAATATAATGAACAATAATTTGAAAAATAGATATATTTTGAATCGGTTTTCGAAGAAGTTGTACTGCTAGTTTTATAGACATCAAAAGAGTTCTAGTCCATATTTTTAATATTCAAAATGGCAGCGCCCTTGGTTGTTTACCAAAGACTTGCATTCCGTTTCATTGGACCTGAAACATACAGGAGAAAGTACCGAAACCTTATTTTTGCTTCCGTTATTCAAAACTGTGCGAGTTCATCTGGTGTTAGAGTAAGGTTTGCGCCGAGCCCAACTGGCTTTCTTCACTTGGGTGGGTTGCGAACTGCATTATACAACTACTTGTTTGCACGTTCCCAAAATGGATCCTTCGTTCTTCGCATTGAAGACACTGACAGAGTAAGTTCCTTGGAAGTTCTGTGATCATAGAAGAGTGAAGAAACATAAATCTAGATCTACTGTAAGCGAGATCTATACTCGAGTCCGAATAGTCTCCTGTTGTTATACGGGTGATCTTGTAGTTCCGTTCGTTAAAGTCCACGATCCATTTGTTTACATCCACAGATGAAATCCAGAAGTCTTGAAGACCAAATACGATTTGAATTAGGCTACACAAAGAGCAGGGATGCAACCCAACTGCAAAACATCAAATTAGGATAAAATTCAGGGGGGCATGCCCCCCTGAACCCCCCTGAACCCCCCACCTCCATATTTTTTATAGGTCAGGGGGCTAAGCCCCCCTGAAACCCCCCTACTCTTGACTTTAACGAACGAAACTTCTACAAAATCGCCGTTATAACGGACTTTTAACTAGTGAGGCTAATACACTGTTTGGGGGCTCTCGTGGCCTAGAGGTTAAGGTATTGGCCTCTCACTCAAAAGGTCCCGGGTTCGAATCCCAGTAGCGACCGAAAAAATTTTCTTCCCTAAATTTGTCTCCTTTCACCTCATTTCCTGCTCTCTAGCAATGTTCTGTCGTCTGCTTTCGTCTCCTCTTGCTGCCCCTACCCCCTCGCCTCCTTTGCCCCTTCCTCTGGGCTCCTGATAATGCCGTTAGGCTAAATGTAGAAAAGACGCATCTTTTTGATTGGCTGCTAATTTTAGTACTGTGATGTCATCACTTCCTGGGATATCCACTGGGAACGACGTGTTTTTTCTGTAACTTTTCAGATTTCCTAGATCTCTAGATCTTTTCGAGATCATAGTAGGCCTACTTGGACATGATGGAAGATCGCTTAGATCTAGATCTAGATCTAGATCATTGATGCTCAGAACAGTAAGATTAAAAACGCTGATTCAATGCTTGAAATTGAAACATGGAACACACGAAGACAATAAACCGCACGAAAATTGCCGTAAACAGACCTGCCACTCATCCCGATTTAATCGGGATATCCCGATTTTTTGCCATAAATCTCAAGCATCCCGATTTTCCCGATTTCGATAGCCAGTATCCTGATTTTTCGTGGTTACGTCTGTTGCGTCCAATTCTTAGAAAAAAATGTTAAAAGTTCTGCAATCTCTTTTGCTTGGAAACACCGATTGGACTTTTTATCTGCAGGAACTTGGAACGCTATTTTCTAAAGAATCTATGCCGAATCTAGGTCTAGTAGATGGCTAACGTACGTTATTTAAACAAAAAATCGACCTAGTTTCAAACGCTCACTCGCATCACATGACATGACCTCGTACGTGTGGTGAGTTGCGCGTGTGTCGGGGACCGTCGGTTGTCTGGGTCAACAAAGTTCATTCACACCGGTCGCGTTGGTCGAGGTGTTTTTCGGGACTTATCCAGTGTGGACGGCCGGGGGGAGGGGGTTGGGGTATTGATTTGACACTTGGGCTTAAAGTGCGTGCCGTGATACGGGTACTAATTAAGGGGAAAGGAATAAGAAAAAAAATGAACAACCTTGGCGCGATCTTTTTTTCGATGTGATGGAAGTCAAACGTTGTTAAAAACGCGGGCGTTTTGCGTGGATGATTCGAGTTACGTGTCAGCTATTTTCAAGACTACGAGTGTTTCAGCATCACTGCGACCTTCGCTCCCCCAGTCTATCTAACTTCGACTCGCGTACATATATGCCTTCAAAGTTTTGCCTTGCATACTTGCCTCTTAAAAGGGAACCAGGACACCCCCCCTCCCCGCCTTCTCCAGTGCCCTTTATGACTGATTTGCCGTTGATCCCGATTTTTTTCACCAGATCCTGATTTTTTAACTCAGAAATCCTGATTTTTAGATTTCATAGAGAGGCAGGTCTGCGCAAAGACGCTGGAGGATTAGATTTAAATCTAGATCTAGCACCCGCCCTCCTCTCCTGCATTTTTAATCACTAATATATTTTTAAAAAACAAACAAACTTGAAAGCAGCTCTACAAATTATAATTTATGGGACTGTTGGTCAGTCGGGAGGAGGAGAAGAGAAAAAAAACAACTGTCCGGGACCAGGATCGAACTGCTCCAAAAATCATTGCACGACTTCAAACGCAGTTGCGCTGTCTAATGTCTATTCAGCCATCAGAACTTCCGAAAGAGAGGTGTACATTAAGCATTATATACATAGACACTTCCATCTTTGGTGCTATGCGGTTGGCTATACTTAGATCGGAGGGGTATCCTGGTCTGACGTCAAACAAGATGGGCGCCTCCTAAAAATAGTTTGCATCTTTATACGTTTGATCGTATACATGTGCTCCTGATTCTTTCTGCAGCCTTCCTACTGCTTCTCCTTCGCCACACCCCTGATCTTCTGGTAGGAAAGATCTACACGCCTTCTTGGACAAGGGCGAAAAATCTCGGAGGGCCCGTGTGCGAGTTGTGCACGTTAAAGATCCCTTGGTGGTGTAAAATCGATAAGAGTAGGCTTCGGCCGCCACCCGGGCAAAATTCAAAATTTCCTACCAACTGAAAATATTAGGTGTGTCCCACGCGCTCATATGACGTTATGCAGTTGCGAGCGCCGTAAAACACTTTTCAAAAACAAAACGAAAACACTGCGTTTCACTTCTACAACGGAGTGTCTACGTACACGGTAACTGGGCACCTAGCCTCAGTATCTACGAACACATGGTGACCGTCAACCAGGCACGTAGTCTCAGTGTCATGTACACAGTAACAGGGCTGTTCAGAACTCCAAGTTCAGTTTTTGTCATCCGGTGTTGCCTTCATCCCCACCCCTCCCCCGACTGTACCTCTTTAAAAAAATTAAATAATTTTAATACCCCCATTCCGGAGCCCTAGATCTAGATCTAGATATATACTTCGCAGCGCACAGACTTTGAATGAACTTTCGTGACCTCAACTGGTGCTCACAATGTGATGCGCACACACAGGTTCACTGACTGGTCATGATGGCGAACCCGACAAGACGCTTGTGTACAGTGTATGACTTTCTTTTTTTCAGCAAGTGCATGATAGCACAGGACAAATATTGATTTTTTTTCATTCCGGTTACCGTGTTCGTAGATACTGAGACTAGGTGCCTGGTTACCGTGTACATTGACACTCGCTTCCACAAAGGGATAAAAAAATTTTTTAATTCATATTCAGTCCTTATAAGACTGCCCCCCCCTCCCCTTTCTCTCCCTCTTTCTCTCTCTCTCTCTCTCTCTCTCTCTCTCTCTCTCTCACTCTCTCTCTCTCACTTTTCCTCTCTCTCTTTCTCTTACTTTTTCTTTCTCCATCTTACTTCTCCAGGCCCACCCCACCACCTTCACCCCTTTTTTTGCATATAGTCATATTTAGATCTATATTCCCTCCCATTCCGTTGCCCTCTGCCCAGCCCTACTATTATATTATCCTTTGTAAAGAAAAGACCATAGTGTAGTTCATGTGGGTTACCACGGTTGGCGCCCATTTGTTGTAAGTTCGTAGAAACAGAGGAAGGCCAAGGTCGAATTGCTTGTCTGCTTCACATCCAGTACACCTAGTGATTGGGCACGCATATTGGAGTTTGAGTCTGAATAGCCACGGAAGGCTATTCAGACTCGAGTGTCCGAATAGCCTCACACGGCTGTTTGGACTCGAGTCCGAATAGCCGCAGC